GTGTCAAAGTCTCAGTAATTTGTTAGGCTGCTTCTTTAAAATGAGGAAAAGGGGCTCGAGGGGAACTCGCCATGCAAAGCACAGACACACTGGAAAAAAAAAACACATTGGATCTAGAGTCCAGACTCTTAAAAACATCGATAAGAAAAAGTACTCTTGATTCGATCAGAATCTAGCTTAAATCAAGAACCAAGCCTTTTAATTTGAGCGGATTTTTGTTTGAATTTTTGATTCAAACAAAAATCCGATTGAATCAAGAGTTTTTTTTCTTGTCAATGTTTTCAAGAGTCTGGGCTCTAGATCCAATGTGCTTTTTTTTCCAGTGACACTAACCCGGGTTAAACACTCCTTCTCCACGGCTAGGGAGGGGAACACGCGAAAAGCCAGCATTGCGAGAAAGCATACCATCGGCTGGGGTTGATAGAAAACTTAGGGTTGTCTCTGAGTTGTTGTTTCCGGGCAAAATGCGACTTCGCCGAACTGCAGTACGGCCGACCCCGGGGGCAATTACTTTTGAGTTACTTTCGAAAGTTAGTTAGGGATTTTCTTACAATGGTCTGCCAGCCGCATCTTTAATGGACTCAAGTAGAGCCGTTCATGGATACCGTGCTCTAAGTTGATTGACACCAAATCCAAAGAACCATATGACAGAAATGCAACATGGCTACAAGTGCCTAATGTTCGTGCGTCGGATTTGCAAGTGCAGTAGTATCCGAGAATCCTTTTTGTTTCATCCAGGTCTTCTTGACCATTCGAGGATTTATACGCAATGAATATTTGATGTCTTGTGGCGTTTTGGAACCTGGAGAAAACTCGTACTCGCAAAAAGCCAGGCTCATGAATGTTACGATCGACTTGCAACTCTTCTTTGTCATAACTCTATGGAGTTTGTCTTGGATGTACAATCTAATTATACGATCAGCAGATAATAAGATGGCTGATAAGGTGGTGCTGCAAGTTGGAGCGACTCAAAATGTGACCATTTACGCCTAAATGGACATCTCTCTTCCTTGAATGGGCCTGTTGTTAACTTTTGCTAGAGCAAAAATAAGAGTTGTTTCTTATAGATAATGCCTCAAGAATCACGGTGAGCGCATTGGCAAAGTCTGAAATGCACTCATAACTTCACAGTCTGCGTAAGAAATTTGCGGTTTTTTGAGCTTCCCGCTTCAAAAACGATACTACGGCACAGGCGAACATTTTGTAAGAGGAGTCGTTCCATCGTCGGCATAATCATCATGGCCGACGCCAATCCGCCAAAACACGTTTGATGGGACGAGATAACACCTGAACTGGATTAGACCAGATAACAATCGGTGTGTTAACGTTCATATTTTCCACGCCCGAATTGATTGACCTTGAACTCTCCTCGAATTACGCGCGGAACTGCGCGCAAGCGTCGGCCATGATGAATATCGCCGACGATGGAGCGACTCCTCTAACAAAATGTTCACCTGTGCCGTAGTATCGTTTTTGAAGCGGGAAGCTTAAAAAAATGCAAATTTCTTACGCAGATTGTGAAGTTATGAGTGCATTTCAAACTTTGCCGATGCGCTCATCGTGATTTTTGAGGCATTATCTACAAGAAACAACTTTTATTTTTGCTCTAGGAAAAGTTTGCAACAGGCCCATTCAGTTAGTAAAGATCCCTCTCTCATCCTCCTCCATTGGTACGGTTCGACTAAGTCAAGACTAGGTCAAACTTAGTTCCTACTTGGACATCGTCAGCCGACAAATTACCCTTAACCTCCTCCACGTGATTTGAAAAAAAAAGAAAAAAAAAAAAAAAAAAAAAAAAAAAAAAAAAAAAACCCCTCGACATCATCCTCCAACAGAAGTTCCTTTCACTGTTTCCACATTACATGAGAAAAATGAAGAAGAAAAAAAAGAAAGGAAGAAAAATGAAGAAGAAAAAAAAAGAAAGGAAGAGGGAAGAAAATAAAAAAAAGTCTGTCTTATTTAGCGTTCTCTTAGGCATTCCAACTCTCCTACATACTTTCGCATGGATTATCATTTGTTTTTCCTCTCCTTCTATTTCTCTCTTTTCGTATTACTTGTGATTTTAGCATTATCATGTTTAGTAAAAATGGACTTCTTAAACGTTTTTAAAGACTTAGAGCAAGGATCGATGAGAAGAAGAGGCGACATGGCCAAAAGTGAGGCCGCGTAAGAAGACGGCGTGCGGGCGCCGTCCGGTTATTATGGGCGCAGCCTCGTGAGCGTCGGAGTTCGAGCGGTAGAGGAGCCCAGGTATGGGTGGCGGGGCAGCAGAGAGGGGTCGGAGAGGACTGGAAGGGAAGGGCACGAGCGGCGCCGCACAATGGTATGGCTTTCGGCGGGAGCGCGCGAAACCTCCGTTTACGCACATAAAACGGCAAATATCTCGAAAACCGCACATGGGATCTTGTTTGGCCCCTTGGAACTTTAGTTCATGATGACATGCTGCACAACATACGGAAGTTTCAACACATTAGACCGGGGGCAACATTCCATAAGAGCCGTGCATAGTCCTCTTTCAGCACCAAGTCTGGAGGTGCTCTTGATTGTCTGTATGGCTGAGTAAGCCTCATACATAAGTCATTAATTTTCCTTTGTTTCGAGGAGTTCACCCTTCCCCAAATAACTTTCCGAATTCTCTGCAGATTAGAAACCAGTTGTCAATAATACGGATAGGTATCTGAATATACAGGGTTATCCAAAAGTCACCTACCACCCCTGTAACTTTTTTCCTAATTGAGAGAGAAGTTTGAAACTTTGGGAATGGTCCTCGGTTTAAGGTAGCAACTTTTTGGTCCCCTCAAAATTTTGGGGGGCGGCCCCTCCCTAAGGGGGGCGGGGGCTAACTTTTTTTTCAAATGGCAACCCCCCTTTTCTGATACCTCATTCGAAAGATAATAACAAAAGAACATTTTTGGCGCAAACCGCAGGTCAAAATGTTGATTTTTGACAAAATGGCGGCCGGTTAAAGATCAAAATGGCGGAAATTCGGCATCTCCGTTGTTTATCGACGGATTGGTCTGAAACTCAGATCTCATAGGGATTTCAGGACGAGAAAAACGATTCTGGCATCAGTTTTCCAGAAATGTCAGTCCTTTTCAAAATGGCGGTGGTTAAAATGGTGGCTTAGAGCGGGAAAAGAATATTTAGGCTACTTATCGTCGGATTTGTATGAGACTTGGTATCCGGGGGTCTTTCGGCACGAGAAGAACGAATTTTTCATTGGATTCTGGAAATTTATAAAAACTTTAAAATGACGGCAAAAATGCGAATGGCGATGGTGGATGCGGATTTTCCGTTATTTTTCCGCCAGCATATTGACAAAATTCAGTGTTTCAAAAATCTAATGAAACATTCATTTTTTTCGAGCCAAAGACCACCAGAGTATTGACTTTTGCGCAAATCCATCGGTAAATAGCCGTGATATGGATTTTCCGTCATTTTTTCGCCGCCATTTTACAGTTTTCAAAAATTTCCAGAATCCAATGAAAGATTCGTTCTCCTCGTGCCAAAATACCCTCGGAAACCAAGTCTCATACAAATCCGACGATAAGTAGCCTAAATGTCCTTTTCCCGCTCTAAGCCACCATTTTAACCGCCGCCATTTTGAAAAGGACTGACATTTCTGGAAAACTAATGCCAGAATCGTTTTTCTCGTCCTGAAAACCCTAAGAAATCTGAGTCTCAGACCAATCCGCCGACAAAAAACGGAGGTGCCGAATTTCCGCCATTTTGATCTTTGACCGGCCGCCATTTTGTCAAAAATCAACATTTTAACCTGCGGTTTGCGCCAAAAATGTTCTTTTTTTATTACCTTTCGAATGAGGTATCACAAAAGGGGGGTTGCCATTTGAAAAAAAAAGTTAGCCCCCGCCCCCCAAAATTTTGAGGGGACCAAAAAGTTGCTACCTTCAACCGAGGAACATTCCCAAAGTTTCAAACTTCTATCTCAATTAGGAAAAAAGTTACAGGGGTGGTAGGTGACTTTTGGATAACCCTGTATGAAGTCACTAGCAATGATTTTCTTAAGTTCTTTCTAAAGGAACAAAAAACTCAAGTAATCACTTATATTTTCCTGTTTCCGTTCATGAGGGTAAGGTCGTGCAAAAGAGGGAAAAAATTGACAACAATCATCTTATTAACCCAACTGTAGACAAATTGCTGATTGAAATTATGCTGTATGTAACACGGTGACACTTTACCACAAAGCTTTATACACCATTAATTATGACTCTTCTGATCCATGAGCACGTAGAAATAGTTAAGTGATCCTGAAAATTAACTTTTCCTAATACATCATCATGAGTTTCAACGAGAAAAATGTAAATATTCACGATGATTCTAACCTCAATCATCCTCGATGGTACCACATCATTTTAGCTCTGTAAGAAATATATTTTCTTATTGAAAACAATATGTTTCATACAAGAAAAAATATAAATCAGAGAAAAAATCTACATAAAAAAGGAAAGAATTCTATCTCAAAGAAAAAAATATATCTCTGAGAAAAAATCATACACCAGAGAGAAAAAAAATAAATCTGAGGAGAAAATATTTATTTTTGCTTTATGGTTCTAACCCCACAGAGTATTTACCAGAATATAAACGTTAACAGTCAGGAAGCAAATTGATACATGCTCAACTTCAAATTCTGCGAGTCAGCAAGCAAGTAAAGGCAAGTGACTCACTGGCTAGACATTGAATGGAATAATTGGGGCCTTGGTGAAAACTGGCTCACTACGAAAGTCCCTTAGTTTCAGAAACTTATTCTATGCCTATCTTTCACTGGCACAGATTTGGGACATCAAAATAACAACACAGAATAGTTCTAACCTGTCTCAGACCAAGCATGTTAGGGGTCACATCTGATTGTCCGCCATAACTTCATGATCTAAAGTCAGGTTTGAAAATAGCCATCTGTAAAAATACAGTTTGTAGAAAAGAAGTATGCCACCATGATCGCACATGGCATGAGCCATGCTTAGAAATGAAATTGCGCTAACCTAACTTACCGTCCGGAGTCGACGTGGATGTTGTACTTTTTTGTAACACAGGCTGTTTATAGAGGACCAACTCTTTTGTTGTTTGCACAGAATTCCATAGAACCATTTGTGATCCAGCGGCAGGAGAGCTTTCCTTTTCTTTCTCTCTTCCTCGACTCCCATTCTCGCTACTTTCTCCACCACTAGGTACCTCACTTTTTACCCGTAAATCTGCAACACACATAAAAATAAATTACAAAACATGATGTCACTGATTTAAAAGTAGTGTACTTACTTTTTCTGTGAAGAGATTTGGGGTAATATAAATATTCATTTTGGAGCAAGAACAAAATAAAAAAGCCTTTTCTTGTAAGCCCTTGTGATGGTAATTTCAAGAGCAAATTGGACCCCAAGACGTAAAGAAATGGGTTACAGCATATTTCACATAACTTGGTTTGTGCCTGAACAGAAATGAAACTGAATATATGTTTTCCACCAAGGACTTAAATATTAGCAGAGGGTTGCTGAGCATTGCAGGGATAAAACCTGTGAAACTAGTCAAGTTTCTGGGAATTTGCAATGATAAGAAATTGAAATGGGATGTTAAAATTTATAAATTGATTAACAGACTGGCCTCCATGAGTTACGAGATGAGTTGAGCAGGTGATTTCGGAGGTAGGAATGGAATCATTCTATTACGGGCATGCTTCCTTTAATTTGAAGTATAGTATATTTGATTAGGGTGATGGTAAAACAATGCAAGATGTAATGAAAAAACAAAAGCGTATCCAGCAATCGATGCTAGGTTTGAAAACAGCTGCCTCTTGCAGAGAATATTTCATGAAGCATCGATTTTGAGCAGTAAGGTCTATCTACATTTCATAACTTTTAAAAGTAGTTCAAGAGAATGATGAAATTGTCACATTCTAAAATGCCCTCTCTTAGGGAACCAGATGTAGTAGCAATGTGCAACTGTCCTATTTTAAATCCGCAAGATTTTACGGTATAGTTGAGTCAATCTAGCTTCATACCTCGGAAAAATTAGCACAATTTTTTCCTTTGGTATACAGTCTTCAGGTATCCAATAAGACAGAAAAAGAAGTTTACCAAAAAATTCTATCGGGAAAGTGATCAAATTGCAGTTTTTCGAAATGGCAGCTTACAGTGCTTTTCAAAGAGGACGGACATATGGATCTTCCTTTATAACTCAAAAATCATGCGTCCAAAAAAAAAATTACTACATATCAATTTGAAAGATCATCAAATTTTGGTAAAGAATCATAATCAAAAATTAGGCTTTAATTATTTTCTTCCCTACGAATTTTGCTATTTTAAAAACACCGACCGGCAAAATCTGCTAAAACTTCACGATTTTTTTCGTTTTTGACCAATTTAAGGTCAAAATAATTAATTTAAGGTTAAAAACAACGGCACCACTGATAAAGACATTAAATTTAATGAAGGAATACCCATCCATTTAGCCTTTTCATCTTTAATGGCCTCATTGTGAGACAAATCATTCAAAGGCATGAAGTCAATATTTAACAACAAGTTCAGCTGCAACATCATCAACTCAAAACGCATTTCAAAAACTAATATGTTGTTTCAAACGCTCTGTAGCCCTTCTTGGTCTTCACCATATGCTGGGGAAATTTTTTGGTCGCGAGTTAAAAGAGCGGAGAAGAGCATAAGGTGGGAAAATCCGCTACTTTAAACAGCGCGCATGGCATTGATTAGCTCCGCCGGATTGGCACAGTTGCCATGGGTCCTTTCATTCTGATAAAAGTACGTGTGAAGGTGCTCTATAGGCCACAACTGGACCTCACACAATGCAGTTATGTTTCAGCACAATTTCTAGATTTTCTCTGCATTTTCATTCTTTGACACTAAGTTATATCGTTTTAATTTATCCATTTTCGCGATGAAATCATGAGCTCTGGCATGAGCCGGGGTAGATGTGACAACCCTGTGTAGTTAACTGTGATTAGCGTAGGAGAGGGGACCTCTTGAGGAGTCGCAGGCACAATTTAAAACGGCTGATTTTTCTGACTCACGCTCCTCTTCGCTCTTGTAACTCGCAACCCAAAAATTTCCAAGGCATACAGTAAGGCCATAGAGGAGCTACTGGGAGTCAGGAAAATCTATTCGTTTCTCATCAAAATTAGAAAATGGCTTTTACGGGAATCAGCCCTGACGTGAAAAAAAGAGGTTTTTTTGGCGTTCCACCTCTTCGGAGGTCATAACTCGTGTATAAGTTGACAAAACCCTATGTTTTACATTTTCTGAAGGTTCTTGTCACACTGTAAACACTCGTCTGAACCGCGTACTATAGTCCAGGAGCTCCAAATCGTGGCCAAAAATCCGATTCTGGAGAGTGCGAAAATCTGGCCATCGAGCATGCAGCCTTGATTTACATCCTTTAGCAGGTGTGAAATGACCTATCAAATATTATGTAAGTATTTTCAAGGTCAGATATGTGGTGACAAACTTCACAGGCTCTGAGGTAAATAAACAAATGTGAGAATGAGTCAGTTAAGTCATTTTTTTTATTGTGTCATTCAAAAGTAGTAAGTGACCAAAGCTTACAGTTTTTTTCCTATTTTTTTTTGATGACTGCAAACGGGAGAAAAGTTTATTTGAAAGTGCAAAAAATTAGGGTGGCCTAAAACGGCGTTTGAACCGAGCACTCGTAGGTTTCGAATGTACACATCACGATCAATATGGCGGCGGAATGTGTAGTGAAAGAATAGATCGTATTTGATACATCAAACAGGTGAGATTGTATCGATATTGATTGGTTCAAAACATAAAATTAGCCTCATAAGTCAATCTAGAAATCGGAGGGAACGGGTTTTTTTGTAACAGATGTTTTTTTTTTGAGTACCAAATGCCAATGCAAAGAGAAATTGTTAAGAATTTTCTTATTTTCAGATTTTCCAACTTAAATCCTAACAGATTGGTTTGAGGTTATGCACTATTGTTTTGAACCAAACGATACATCGAACCACTATCGAATACGGTCTATACACGGCGGCGTCGCGCTGGCGGTGTGATTTTAATGGTCAATTGGAGGTTATGTAGGTTACTTTGTTTGAGATTAATATCCATTGTTCTCAATTCTCTAAGCTTTTCAATCAGAATGCGATACAGATGAATGTAGGATATGAAACTTTCACACAGAACTTTCTTAACCTCAAACGAGAAATCGTGATGTCAACAACGGCGGCGTGGCGGTACTAAGCAGGTCAGCTTCGGCGCTGCCATCTTCCCGTTCTTTGAGGCGTATACTCGACGATTCACGGCGGTCGGTTCAAACATGTTTTCGAGGACCCCTAAAAAGGAAGCGTTATATCTCCGCGGAGACAATTTTTCGTGAAATTTTAACGAGCGCATCGTTCTCCTCGTACCAAAAACTGTAGGATTCAACTATTTGCAGGCAAATCCCTCCCAAACTTAACTGACTCATTCGAGGTAAATAAACAAATGTGAGAATTCGAGGTGCACGTTATTACATAGTACCTTGCGTTGTATTGTTGAAAGTCGGCATGGATCCCAATCAATTAAGGAACAAAAAGCTCAGAGTAAGCACTTTGTGATAGTTTAATTGTTTCTTGCATTAGGATTATATGTATTACGATTAATTTTGTGGCCATTACGAGACTTTAAAGTTTTGCCTGAAAATGAGCAAAAAATGACCTTGACCTCACCTTTGCATTATTACCATTTCTTGCGGATTCATTCTTATTGGTGCAAAAATGTAGGTCATGTGTTCCTCTAAAAGGATATAATTGATTTCTTTGCATCTGCGGATTTCTGTAGTCATTTTAGTGCAGCAGTTAGGTGATCTGAGTGATCTCATTTCGCTGTGCAAATTTAAATCTGGTGAAAATAGTGGTCAAAATTTCTTAAGAGTATTTCGTGTTCAATTTCTTGTAAAAAGATCAAAATTTGTTGAACCAAATGATATTACAGCATTAGAAAACTTACTTCTAAATTCACTTCGGACATGTTTGAATTCTTACTTGTCTGGTGTCCATTAAAAAATTAGGTAAGAACATATAATACTAGCCGTGATTGGGGAGTGCCCCTGGACCCCTGGTTCCTAGCTTCCCAGCCGTCCCTCATAGCTATTTACTTTCAAAATAATAATAATAATAATGAGAAGACAACAGCTTCGCCACTTTGTCCACGGCCGCCATCTTGGATTTTGGAATTTTGAAAATCCGACAAAAAATTCGAGTTTCCAGTCGAAAAAGACCTCCAAAACCGAGTTTGTCAACAATCGATCGAACAAGAGCCAACACAGCATTTTAGGCCACGGCCGCTATCTTGGATTTTGGAGTTCTCAAAATCTGACCGAAAATTCGAGGTTCCCTTCAAACAATACCCCCTAGAAACGATTTTCGCAAAAATCCGTCGAAAAATACCTCCTAATACCTGAAATTTCGTCTATAATTTTGGTGCCGCTGCCGACTGCTGTGACGTCACGCGCGACACGATTGAACCTGTTCGGCGCGGTGCGCGTTAACAACCCCGTATCCCCTATGCAGTACTATTGGAAGAGAAGAAACAACCTTTCTCTTTTTTGGACTTCAGCAGCATTTTTTCCTAAATTTGAGTTTTTGTTTATTTTTAGACATGTTTCGGTGGTCCTTACCTTCATTCTTGTCAACTTTGAAGGAAATCGCTTTGACAGTTTTATGGTAAAAGTGTTGTTGAAATCTTGGTATGGTAGCTTTATATGTTTAATTACCTTCAGCACAATTTGGATTCATTGGAGGAGGCCAATGAGGATTTCCAGGTGATGGAGTAGGCCGGTTAGTATCCACAGCAGCAGGCCTGTCGAATGACCCGACCGAGTCCGAGGCTTCATAAAAATAGTGGGGTGATCCTGGCTGGCCAGGGAACTGCGACACCGATATTGGTGACTCTCTCTCCGGTTTAGTAGCATCTCGCAGCACTGACGGTCTGATAGAGGAGTCGCGCATTGGATCACTGGGGCTTCGCCCATAGTAGCGTTTCCTTGGTAAATTGTCATAGCCAGTTGCCATTGAGGTTGGTGTGGTTTGTTGGGAAGATGGAGGAACTCGCTGTTCGAAAGCGGGAGTGCGGTAGTGATGAATGTAAGGTGTAAAAACAGGCGAATATGACGAAGTAGGTGGTGGTTGCATCGTTGAATCATTTGAGGTAGATTCATCTGGTTTTGAGGTAGATACATTACTTTGTTTCCGATCAGACAATTTCCCTGATCGACCGCTGGGAGACTCCAGCTCTTCTCTGCGAGTTTCTTCCACAACATTATCATGATGCTCTTGTTGAGCAGCAGCAAGTTTCTCATGCTCAATAGACAGCCCCTTAACCTGGAACAGAGCAGCCATTTCTATATATCACCGCGTTGAAAAAATACATTGCAAAGGTGTAATTTAAGCATTGAATCAATATAATTAAGATAAAAACAAAAGTGTGTTGATTTAGATGTGGATCAATCGGCTGGTGCGAAATTATTCGTGGGACTATTTTAGGTACATGAACACAATGAATTAAGAAATTACAACAGAGGTGGAAGAGGCTTCACGAGAAAATGAAATTCCTCTATGCCGGGTTTCCCAGGCATCCGCACACTACCTATTCCTCGGAAACGGCCGAAAATTGAGCTTCCGGACGAAAAAGAAATCAACCCCAAAGAATTCAATGAAAATATTTTCAGCCCTTCAAAACACCATGGGGAGGCGGGTTAAGGGGGGTGCTCCCCGTTTCTCACATATTTCAAATAGGAAGAGTATGCTTTAACTACAGTTTAAATTCTATTGCCAAATATAAGAGCTTTTTGTTCTATGCTTTTTTCCCTACACCCGCTTCTTTTGAGTTACGGGGCATTTTTGGGGCAGATTTCAATAAGACACTATAGGCGTTAAAAGTTTTCGATTTTCAAAATCTGGGAGTCTCCTGAGAGAAGAAATTAATACCTACATATAGTTATGCCCGCCCCATGATGCCTCTTGATCCAGAAGTATGGGGGCAAAGACCCCCCGAGAAGAGGTTGTTCCAAAAACGCCGATTTTGCCCCCCCCCCCCTTGGATTTGGCCCAAACTTTGTTCAGATGTTGTACTAGATGTCCCTGATGCTTGGGTAAAATTTTAGCCCCCTCGGATAATTGGGGGGGGAGGGGGCAGGGGGGCAAAGTTGCAATTTTTTCAAAACTTTAAAAATCGATATCTCGCGAACGGATTGAGTGTTAGTGTTGCGGTTTGCGCTAAAAAACGTTAAAAAATATTCTCTACAAGAATATTACTGCTGTTTGCACGGTTGCGAAATTTATCGTAGTCATAAATCGATTTTTTCGATTTTGAAGGTTCGACTTTTTTTCGTTTTTCGTCTCTCCTCTCCAGGCGATCGTTGCTAGGTGAAACAAACCTGTTGAGGTGATTCTTCATGAAATTCTGCATCTACCACATTTTGTTTGACCTTGGGGAAACGATTCGTTCGTGAGTTAAAGCGATCTTTCTGCGCGTTACCGGTTACGTGCGGGCGGCATATCGGCGGCGCTCCGTCCCGCGCGGGCACGGCAGAGGTTGTTTCACCGCTAGGGCCTTATATTCATGCTGTAGGCTGTAATTATCGAATTTTTCTCCTCCCCCCACCTTTCCCCACCAATAAAATTGTTTTTATTACTTCGTTATACAGGGTATCCCAGACCACCCGTAACAGGTCTTTTTCTTAGTTGATTTCGGTAGTACGAAGTGGGGGACCGCGGGGTTAAATAGGGAATTGACCCCAAGGAATCCGAATTTCACAGTCCTGAAACCCCCCATGCCCACCTTGGGAGGTAAAGAGGGGGTCACGATCTGGAAAGTTGGGAGACATTGTGCCTCCCCCTTTTACCCCCAGGGGAGGTTAGGGGGGCTTCAGGACCATGAAAATTGGATTCCTTGGGGTCGATTACCCCAAGGGGAGCATGGGGGATTTCGGGACCATGACATTCGGATACCTTGGGGTCAACTACCTATTGAACCCCGCGGTTCCCCACTTCGTACGTTACCTTTACCAACCGAGAAAAAGACCTGGTACGGATGGTCTGGGACACCCTGTATAACGAAGTATAAAAAAATATTTATTGGTGGGGAAGGGTGGGGGGAAGAGAAAATATCGATAATTACAGCCTACAGCATGAATATAAGGCCCTAGCGGTGAAACAACCTCTGTCTCGCCCGCGCGTAACCGGGAACGCGCAGAAAAACCGCTATAACTCAAGAACGAATCGTTTCCCCAAGGTCAAATAAAGTGTGGTCGATGCAGAATTTCATGAAGAATCACCTCAACAGGTTTGTTTCACCTAGCAACGATCGCCTGAAGAGGAGAGACGAAAAACGAAAAAAAGTCGAACCATCAAAATCGAAAAAATCGATTTATGACTACGATAAATTGCGCAACCGAGCTAACAGCGGAGTATTCTTGTAGAGAATATTTTTTAACGTTTTTTAGCACCAACCGCAACACTAACACTCAATCCGTTCGCGAGATATCGATTTTTAAAGTTTTGAAAAAATTGCAACTTTGCCCCCCTGCCCCCTCCACCCCCCAATTATCCGAGGGGGCTGAAATTTTACCCAAGCATTGGGGACACCTAGTACAACATCTGAGGAAAGTTTTGGCCAAACCCAGGGGGGGGGGGGGGGGAATATCGGCGTTTTTGGACCAACCTCTTTTAGGGCTTGAGAGGCCCGCAAGTCGAAAATTTCAAATGGCAAGTGTATATTTTGACTAAAGACTATGATTCTACACGAAAAGTTATGAAGAATGGCCTATTTCGCTTAATTTCTTAGCCCCTTTCTCCCGGGAAACTTTAATCGCTCATAAATCCGGAACCGTTTATTTCCCCGGTCTAATGAACCACTGGTTGGATGCGGAAAAAGACGAACAATTTAAATTTGGTTAAAATAAAAGCTTGAAATCTTTGTGTAATCCATATTTAGAAGAAAATTTTTTGACTCAAAAACTGAAAAAAAGCACATAAGTTAACTTGAAAATGTGATATCAGTATTTTGCGCTTAAGAATCTTAAATTATGCAATTTTAGACGATTTTTCGTCCAAACTGGACCTTGATATCTTCCTTCATTTGAGAGATATCGAAGTTCACAGGTTTTGACTTCCACCCCCCTCCTACCGACCCCCCCCCCCCCAAAATTTCTGGGGGGTCTGAAAATTTGGGAAATGAACGCTCAAGTGTGAGTAATCAATAAACAAAGTTTGAAGAAATTCCAGGGGGGGGGGGGGGGGGGGGCGAAAAAAGCCGTTTTCGCATTAAGCTCTTTTCTTGCGCACTAACTTTTTCATTTCAATAGGAATTGACACTTACTAATCTTCCAAATTCAATTTTTCAAATTTAAACCCTTTAGGCCACGGCACAAGGGTCTAGGGGTGGTTTAAGGATCCCAAATTTTTTGTAGCTTATTTTTAGCTTTTTTGGCCACTGAAAATCATGGTGAGCCTGGACGCTGCCCTAATCTACGTTCACCCAGCTGTAGGCAAATAATCTCAATGTAAAAGCGGGATCGTTGTTCCTGCGAAAAATAGTTTCCCGTAGCCCGCCATACATCACTGGAACGACCACAGTAGATAGTTCAAGCATGAACTCTTCGGAAAGAAAGCCTTTCCCCTCAATGGTATCGCACCTATCTTCAGCGCTTGTGTTGTCCTTATCCTCTCCTTAATTCAGGATGGGTCAACTTGCGATTACCAAGAGACCAGGACCGCACATCTTGTCTGATAAAATTAGTCGGTCTCATTACCGATTATGGGAACGTGAGTTAGATTTGTTTGGGTGAGTTAACTGTCGTCGTTACGTTGGGTCTAATTTCATCGCGCAGGGCCAGAAGAGAGGATGATACCGCTCCTTGCCCTGCTAATGGGATCTGCTGCTCCTTTGTAGCAGTAAAATTCTTTGAAATCAAACTCAGTTGATCTAATGGTTAGCGCAAATGACTCCTATACCAGAGGTTTCGAGTTCAAATCCTGACCAGGGGGTGCAGATTTGCCGGGCTCAGATCTTATCATTTTGGAGGAAAATGGATTTTCATTTCCCCTAATTCACCTATCCTTACAATCTTTCTTCAATTCCTGTCTGTTGGGTCTAGTTGGCAAAAAAAGACGCTTGCTTAAATTAACTTCAAAAAAAAAAATAAATAATTAAAAACAAATGATAATAATAATAATAATCCTTTGTGGATGTCTAAATGCTGAGAAAACACAACGATCAGATACATTTCATCAGACGGCACTTATCGTCTGATTTAAATGAATGTGAGGATTTTGAGTTCCTTTTAATTATCTACACTTCAAAAATTTTTTAGCCAAAGGCAAAAGTCAGCCTTTCTTGCCTTCCAGAACTTTGACTCTCCTCAGCATTGTTGGTTGAGTGTCCAAAGCCTTGCAATTCTTCGAATCAGTTATTTTGCATCACCGTAAATCTCTCCAATTTGATAGCTTTCTTCATAATATAGAAATACTAAGAAGATGAGAGTGAAAGGAACTTACTTGCATTGCAACGATTCATAGTTTTAACTGAAAACTTATTTCTTCATTGAGTAATGTTCGCGAATGTTTCACTTCGAAAGTTACTGGGAATTTCAATCAAATCACGAGAAAAATTTAAAAAATATCAAGATTAATTTGTAACCATTCAGGGGTAAATAGGTGACTAAATTGTCCATTAAAAAGGAGGGGTTGCTGTTTGGGCCCGAACCGGAAGTTTTTTTCATATTTGGCAGTTGACGATGCATTTTTTACAGAAATAGTCGGGTATTGCCGATACTCACATTTTTGGGCTTCAAAACAAGGGCTTAAACATGGCCCTGGATCCCAAAATAGTTGAAAATTCGCGTTTATCGAGGTTGTACCTCAGATTTCGACCTCAGCCCAAATGTAACGGGTCATGAGCTTCGAATATGTTGTGAGGGACACCTAGAGCAGTAACATAGGACAATATGGTCAACCGTCATCTTTCGCCCCAAGTTCAATGTTGAACTTTCCTTCCATGTTGAATAGCTGAATATTCGCGTTTTTCGCGGTTCTACCTCAGATTCCAACTTGGGCCCAAATATGACAGGTCCTGCATTTCTAATATGTTGTGAGGGACACCAAGAAAAGTAACATAGGTACGACAATACAGTCAACCGTCACCTTTGGACCCAAGTTCAAAATCAAATTTTTCTAATATGTTAACTCAAAATAGCGGAAAATCCTTTTTTTCTGCGGTTCTACCTCAGATTTTGGCCTGGGCCCATGGATGACGGGTCATAAGCTCTGAATATGTTGTGAGGAAAACTTAGAGAAGTAGCATGCGAGAATATGTTCAACCATCGTCTTTGGGCTCAGGTCCAAATCTGAGGAAAAACCGCAGAAAATGCGAATCTTTAGCCATTTTGGGCTCAAGGGCCATGTTTAGGTCCCTATTTCGGAGCTAAAAAATGTGAGTATCGGCAAGACCAGACTATTTCTGTAAAATATGCATCGTTAACTGCGAAGTATAAAAAAAATGCCCCAATTCCGTGGCGGGGCGACTTTAGCCCAAATCGCAACTCCTTCTTTGCAACATTGCAGTGCAATCAAATTGCTCCAGCTCTATTTTCTCTTGGAACAATCCGCCAATTTTAAGTGACCAACCGAGAAAATCTTCCAAATTTTTAGTGACAATTTGGTATTAGAGTAGCATGAAAATACCTAAGTAGGGTAAATGCTACCAAATCTTAAAAGAGAAGCCCTTGGCCGAGGTGAAGCTGAGAGAGGGGCCTGGGTCAAGCCCCCCTAAAAATGCTACTACGCTTATGCCTGTGATACAAACCCTCCTTTCTTCTACCTTGACGAAATCAGACGAATACGGCCTAGTCTGTTGGTTTATGTTGAAAAGGGAAAAAAATGTGCAAAAACGAAGTCTATTCATTCAAAGACCCTCCTTCATTTATGATCGACTTATCTCTCATTCATAATCCATCCACATTGCGGCTTACACCTTCTGATACTACTGATACGATGATGAATGAGCAACGGATTGAAGGATTGAAGGAGCACCGCTCCCCTCCTGCCGTGCATGCATACATACTCCAAACAGGGTTTTCCCTAACTCTTAATGATCTTAATGCTATTTATATCTGCACATTAGATGCGCGAAGCGCCTCTGGGGGGTTGGGCCTTGGAGCGGTCGCCCCCTAGTTGACTTGAAAAAGCGCATTTTTGCTGATTTAGAGAGAAACTGGTTTAAAACTCTGACCTAGATTATCTGAGAAAAAAAAACTGTTACACTCATTGAAACGAGCGTAAAATTTACTTTCAGAGACCATATGTCAAAAGTTCCAAAGCTTGATTGAGTCCTAGGAAATAGCAGTTTATTAGCTCCGCCCTTAAAATGTGATTTTGTCGGCAATTTTCCTTACAATCAAGGAAAAAACCCTGGAAACATGGCCCGAACTGTGTAACAAGGTGGTAAAATGGTGCTGGGTCCACACTATTTTGGGGGAAAATGAGGCCAAAAAGTTCCAAAATGTTCAATTAGAGTCAAACCTTTTAAGCTCTAATGAGTACCAGTACAAAACTGAGGGAGTAAGTGTTCAGCTGAGGCAGTTTGCATTGGAATATTATGTTGAGGTCATATCGAGAAATCCATAATTTTGGGTCTTTTTGTACCTCACCAGTAGATCACACTTGTCAGGGAGCACTACTGACTGGACATCTCGCAAAATCTAAGACTGCATCGAACTGTTAGTTTTGTACTGGAAGACGGCAAGTTTTCTACTGGTACTCATTAGAGCTCAAAGTTACTCTAATTGAACATTTTTGAACTTTTTGGCTTTTCAGCTCTTTGACAAGAGTGATCTACTGGTGAGGTACAAAAAGACCCAAAATTATGGATTTCTCGATATGACCTCAACATAATATTCCAATGCAAACTGCCTCAGCTGAACACTTACTCCCTCAGTTTTGTACTGGTACTCATTAGAGCTTAAAAGGTTTGACTCTAATTGAACATTTTGGAACTTTTTGGCCTCATTTTCCCCCAAAATAGTGTGGACCCAGCACTATTTTACCACCTCGTTAAACAGTTCGGGCCATGTTTCCCGGGTTTTTTCCATGATTGTAAGGAAAATTGTCGACAAAATCACATTTTGAGGGCGGAGCTAATAACCTGCTGGTTCATAAGACTTAATCAAGCTTTGGAACTTTTGACATGCGGTCTCTGAAAGTAAATTTTACGCTCGTTTCAACGAATTTAACAATTTTTTTTTTTCAGATAATCGTGGTTGGAGATATAAACCAGTTTCTCTCTAAATCAACAAAAATGCGTCTTTTTAAGCTAATTTTTTAAAAACAACTTTAATTTAACAACAAAAAATGAAGCTAGTAAAAACAAAGGAGGGTGATTTTGGTAGGAAATTTTATGCTCTTTCTGCTGGTTTGTTGTTTTTTTTTTTTTTTTTTTTTTTTTTTTTTTTTCTAATTAATTGTTGAGGGGATATTCGCGAAAATCTGACTGTGGGTTTACTCAATTCTGAAAAATTCAAAATGGCGGCGCTCTGAGTACCAGACAATTATCCTGAAGTTAATATGAGCATTTTCGGACTTCTTTAGCACCTAGGAATCGAAAGAAATTGGTTCGAATCGAAGGACAGAACCCATGTTGAACGGTTTTATTTGTAATTTTACTATTAAAAATATTTATTATTTCCTTTCCGAAAAATCTTTGAACTCAACCTTAGGATACATTCTAGAATAAGGAAGTAAGGGAAAAAGGAATAAAGAATTCTTAATACCTGTAAAGCCTCTGCTGCCTTCAAAAAACTTGACAACTTTTCTTGGGAGACATGTACTTCTCCTTTGTACATGAACTCCAACAGAGCGGACATGTTACTTGAAGACGTCCCATCTAGGATGACAACAACATTGACTCCCTGTGTTAGTGTTGCTGATTCAAATATATCTTGAAAGTGCTTGCTACATGCTGCTAAAATTAGCCGGTGAGCTTTGAACGTGACACCTGATGACAAGAGACAGAAATAGATCATGTTGGTGTTAAGTTGCACACAAATTGTTAAAAGGTGTTAAAAACAAGAAAAGGGGCCAACTACGACCGTAATTTCTAACAAAAATTTGAACTGGAGATGTTTAGATACAACCTACCATGTTACTTCGTAGGATACGGATATAATGGACATGAATCTATCGAAAAATAAATCATGAATTGATTGACATGAACCAATGGACAATTGAAGAACCAGTGTCTACTCGATCAACATGAATTGATCAAGAAACAAAAACGTACTGACTTTTGTAGGATGACGTGATAGACTGATGGACGTGATTCAATGGACACTTGATTGAAAAAACCCGATGATGTTTTGTCCCATTGACACAATTCAATCGACAACTGTGAATTGATCAACAAAGCCGTGAATTGATTGACAAACCCATGAGCTAATCGACAAACCCATGAATCGATGGATAGGCCCTTTGAATCATTTGAATTTTATCGATCAAATTGTGTCAATTCGTTCACATTTACATTTGACGATCGATTCACGTTTATGTTTTTCGATCCACTTATGACCATCAAATCCATACCCTCCTGTTTCTTTAATACGAATGTAATCATTATTAAAGTATGATACAATTTCATTCCCTTAAAATGCAACTAGTTAATTACAAAAATAAAAATTGAATTTCATTATCAACTGCCGAGCTAAAAGCAAGAAGAAATGACGCAATGATATATTTCCCTACGGAAAACAATCTAAAACGTAGGAGTTGCTGAAATAATTGCAAAATCTAAACTAATTATTAAGCGAACAACCTAAAAGGCATGTTGTTTGTCTCATCAACAAGTAGCTCTTGACAGACAGATTGAGATGGGGAAAAAGTAACAAATGGAGAACTGCTACTCTTGCGATCTCATTGATTGTAACTTAATTTCAGTGATGAGAGAAAGGTACAAATGAAAGCATCACACCGAAGAGTGGTCAGCTCAGATTTGATGCCTTTACTTCTTAAGTGAAGGTTCCATTTTTATCAGAAAGTTTTCCACATACGTAACCAAAGTAAAGGTTTGCAGTTGCACTTAATGAGCAAAATCTGAATTTTCCTACGTCTCAATATCAGTCGAAAAGAATACAGGGGTGCAGAAAGTGCTGGATCGGCCAATCGTAGACCGATGGTGGAGCAAAAGTGATGATACCTAAAAAGGGGTTAAAATGTGTAAAGGCATCTGGAAAGGGGAAAAAATGGGAAAGCAGAGGGCATAAACTAGCTAAGTGCATATTTTTAGGCAATGGAAACTGTAACTCACTCTTATGCGAACAAAATAGTTGAGCGCGCTCTTTTAAGCAAAGAAAATAGTTGAATGTCCGCTTTAATGCACAGAAAGGGTGGCACATACAAATCTTATGGGGACAGCAATATGAAGGTAGCCTCAAAAAATGTGAAGGCGAAAAACTTTCTACACCCCTGGGATGGCATGGTGCATCATGCACAATCCTATATATTAAAATGCAAAGTTCCGAATCTTAAGGCATTAACTTTGAGAGAACCACCGGACCGATTTTCCTGATCTTTTATTTAAATGAAAGCCCCTGAGCTGTAGATTTGCAGGCTGTAATTTGTTTTCCGATTTTTTCAAATTTTCTCCTATAATTTTCTCAAATTTTCTCCAATGTATTAAAACGGAGGTCCGAATCTTTGGACGTTAACTTTGAGAGAACCACCGGACCGATTTGCATGATTTTTGTTTTAAATGAAAGCCTCTGATCTGTAGATTTGCAGGTTGTGATCGTTTTTTCGATTTTCTCAAATTTTCTTACTTCTATCGACGAATGAAGTTTAGCTGGGCTCAAATTTTCTTCCATTTATTCAGACTAAAGACCGCATTTTGGGACATTAACTTTGAGAGAACCACCGGGCTGATTTGCATGGGGTTTTTTTTAAATGAAAGCTTCTGATCTGTAGATTTGCAGGCTGTAATTTTTTTTACGATTTTCTCAAATTTTCTTACTTTTATTGACGAGTAAAGTTCAGCTGTTTCGAGCGGTCGTCCGGCCGCTACCTGCTTGCCCGTCCCTAGCTACCCCCCCTCCCCCCTCAACGGTCTCAGCCACCCCTTCCGCCACGTTCTTTCGGCTATCTCCGTTTTCTTTCGTATTTCGCTCTCTTCCCACCAACCTCAAAGAAGGAGGTTTGGGTCGCATCGTCGTTTGTCACTCGCCACCCACATTCCCTCGCATACCTCGGCTGCTCCGCTTCACAGCTTCTTGATATCCTGGCATCTTATTCTCTGTGGCTTGACTGACCCTGACTTATTAACTGCCGTATTGCGTATTGCTATCAACACGTATTGTTACAGACATTTTATTCATCATAATTAAATAGATTCAACTAATTGCTCCGATTCCAATTAAGCTACTGCACCACCATTGCTAGCTGTGGAGGGCGCCCGTAGCAGCTAGTACTACTATATACTTAATCACCACCCTACAGTATCCTCATACTTTCAATTTTTTTTCAAACACATCTGTTACCAGTGATGCAGCAGTAAAAAAATACTGGTCAAAATGTATCCGAACCTTAGATATATACAGGGTGGCCCAGACCTACCGTACCAGGCCTTTTTTCGGTTAATTTGGGTCGCACGAAGTCCAGGATCGCAGGGATAAATAGGGAATCGACCCCAAGGAATCCGAATTTCATGGTCCCAGAGCCCCCCTGGCGTCCCTTGGGGGTTAAAGGGGGGTCCGTACTTCAAAAGTCAGGGTAAATGTCAAAATTTTGAAATTATTTCATCGGAATCAGAACGTACGGAAATTTTTAACCTAAACCGACACCAAGAAATCCAAAATCGGAGCATACGGGTCCAAAATACCGACCCTTAAAGGTGGGGGACAGAGCCCCCTTACAGGGGTAACCTCCACACCGGTTAAATTAAAAAGTTCAGAGACCCCCTGTGCCCCATCAGAAAAGTGTCAAGAGGACAATGGGACCCTCAAATTTGGATTCCTTGGGGTCGATTACCTATGAATGCACATTTTTTCCGACCCTCCACGTCAATTTAACGAACTTGATTTTTTTTGAAAGGGGGCTCTATCCCCCACCTATAGGGGTCGGTATTTAGGACCCGGATGGTCCGATTTTGGATTTCTTGGTGTCGGTTCAGGTTAAAAATTTCCGTACGTTCTGATTCCGATGAAATAATTTCAAAATTTTGACATTTACCCTGACTTTTGAAGTACGGACCCCCCTTTTACCCCCCAAGGGCTGCCAGGGTGGCTCTGGGACCATGAAATTCGGATTCCTTGGGGTCGATTCCCTATTAATCCCCGCGATCCTGGACTTCGTGCGACCCAAATTAACCGAAAAAAAGTCCTGGTACGGTAGGTCTGGGCCACCCTGTATTATCAAAATTTCCTCCCACTGTCAGGCCTACATATTTTAACACTAATGTACACAAATCCTATAACCCTTAAAAATCAATTAGTGTCTTAACATGTTGTGATGTGTCTTTACAAATTGCAATTTGCCCAAACCAATTCTGACGAACAGGGGAAAAAAAGATATTGCATTCCAGACATCTTGGAAAGAAGTCAATGATTTCAATGAGTGCTGACATTTTCCTCATTCATTTTCTGAAATTCTTGTGAATTACAAGAGAGGCAATGAGGCAAACTTTAAAAAGTGTTGTGAATTAAAGTCTGTATTGAATTACACCAAAACAATGGGTGTTGAAAGTTCATTTTCCACACTTAAAGTAAACTTCAGATTATGCTGAAGTTATGATGCCATTTTCTATCCACTTATAACACAGTATAAAAAACTTGCAACTGCCACCACCTCATTCTTTTCCTCTAAGGTTCTGGCAAATCTTGAAAAGAAAGGAAAATTCTAGATTAGTCTTGACACTTTGCCGGCTGGTTGATAAAAAAAATGATGTTTTGCCAAGACCTTTTCAGAATATTCTCACAATATTTCCGATGAAGGAATACACTGTGTCTTCACTAAGAGAATATCGAGGTGACACGTCAGCACTTCAGAGAACAATTCGATAGTTGATTGATCAATTGATAATTTCATACTTTCATGACATGTCTAAAAAAAATTCTTGCATCATATCATGTTACAATGCGCTAGCTATTTGCACACAAAATTTGACCGAGAAACACATCGAAATAACTCCAAAAGCACAGTTCAAAAGAGTACCCCAAGTCAAGAGGCTGAATGATTTACGATATTCACTGGGACCATACTTTTGTAGTTATTTCAAAGTCTTTCTACGTCAAATCCTGTGTGCACATACCTGACGTGCTACAGCGTAGTGTGATGCTTAGAAATTTTGAAGAAATCTCCCACTCCCGATATGATACATAGAGCAATCGGCTATCTATAAAATTGATCTTCTAAGTACTGAAGAGCTACCTTGAACCCAAACAATCAAATTAAAATAATATTACCAGTTCCGATCATTTTTGAGGAGCATGACCAGAGGGTGCAGCTAATAAATTATGTTCTTGGGTCAATTTTTAAAATTATTAAAATATGAAAAAATATACCTTCACAAAATAATGTGACATCTGTGAGACTTTCAGATTTGAAGAGGCTGTCAAATGCTGTTACTAGATTACTCCCAAAACTATTCCATTTCAAACAAAACTGCTGCTGTGGGTCCATTCCAGTTAATGAGGAATGATCTCAGCCTGCATAAAAATAAAAATAAAATTATTAAAATAACAACAATAAATTGCATAACTTGAGCTACATTGCTGAATGAAACAAGCATGAAGTTGTTGGCAGGTGGAGGATTCATCAACAATATGTGTATAGGTGCACTTCAAACAACTCGAACCAATTAGGATGGGGCAAATCCAGGTGCTTAAAAAGTAGGATGATCAAAAGGAAATGATATTATTGAACCACAGTGGATACCTAACACACAAGAAAACCTGAGAAAAAATAATTTTTTTAGAGCTTCCTCCAAAGAACATGGACATTTAATGGTAATTAGGAGAACTGAGTCGTTTTCCTCTTTTGCTATAGACGTTGCATCCCCCCAGATCTTGTTAAGAACCTAGCCTAACACAAGGTAATAGGAACAAGTAGAGACGGAGCACTCCTTGACATCCTGTTGAAGGAAAACATAATCTAGCGTATTCAACAGGGCAACAGTCGACAAATTCCTTGAATTTACCTATAAGGACTGGTGAAGGTTAAGTATTTTACAACGGCCAGTTGGGATTTTTGCCTCTTAGATAGTTGGCAAGTTTCTTTTGGTTGGGCGAATTACTGTTTTATCCTCAAGGAACTGCGATATAATATAGAAAATTTTTTGTGTATTTACTAAATAGGATTATCAACATGTTGAGAAGTAATGGATTGATGACTCGGAAAGGAGCATGCCGTTTAGTGTTTTTTAAATGGGAGCCGGGCTTTTGCAGAAACATTCATCCAAATCCGGCTAAAGAAACAAATGGCCATCTCTGTTGTCAGTATATCTTCTTAAAACTCCTTTGTTATTTTTTTGACAGCTATCCTAGGTAATGCATAAACTTTCATCTTTCACTAAAATAAAGTATTGCAGAAACTCATGTATTATCTAAGTTCTAGAATGCTATGCATTTAGTTTTCATGAAGAAATCTAGGAAGAATACGTGTCCTCTGTGCAAAAGAGCGATGATCTACATTGAAATTCGTTCCTTTGCTTAAACTGTAACTCTAAGCATTCAACTGTTAACCACTTCGAGACTCACTTTGACTGAGCAGGCAGCACTGATGTTTTTTTCAGTTCTAAAGATTTTTAATGCTGCCACTCTTTTTCATGAAACTTCTTGGCAGTTCCTTGTTTTCCACACCTTAGGACACGCTGCGGAATCAAGAGGCGACCTCGAGCAAGCAAAATCGGGCAACAAGTAGGAGGACCAGGGTTTCCACAGTTTCTTCCATTTCCAATTTGCTGACTATTTTGTCTTTTCCTTGGCATCCCCTGACTTTCAAAAATTTCCTCTCAGATTATTTCCTTTGAAAAATGCTAGCTTATGCGTTTCTGATAATCACATTTTTATAAATCCTCATTATGAAAAAGACTCAAGGAGGTTGTTCACTCTCTCTCAAATAGCACTAGCCAAATTTGCTGAGCCATTTAACTGCTCGCTCACTTCCCTGGCTTTTAGGATGAATTCTCTCTTATTCTGATTTTCCAGCTTTACCAGACCACCAATAACCCTCGAAACATACTGCCTAATGGATATGATGTTTTTAGAGTGATCGTTGGCAACTGGTCGCTTTGATTTGTCTCAACCTACTTCTGAATGCGATCTTTGGGGCTCCAGAGAATAAAATCCGTATTCAGCTTCTATTCAGTTGGGGAAGAAAGTTTTTCCTGAGTACCTACACTTCCCAACTCAAAAACTGTAGCAAATACCAATTCTTCTTGTTTTGACGTTAGGTAATCAACTCAGGGACTCAAGTTGAACTGTTTAGCCTCACTTAGGGAAGTGACAAAACTCAAAAATCAGTAGGGATGCCCCTGAGCAGAAAAATTTCTCTCCAACTAAACACCGATCAATTGTTACAGGTGATACATCTCAGCAATTTGTAGGAAAACATTGCTTAGTGCAAGAAGCGTGAAGCCTGTATTTTTGTTATGGTTCTGGCCCGGGTATGAGGGAACTCATGAGAAAACAGAAAATACAAGGAGACCTCCGTGAAAATGATACAAAAGCCTCTTTCAAAATATGACTGTACGTATGACTCTACGTATGACTGGTCGAATGAAGAAGATCAAAGTTAGATCAACCTGCGCGTTATGCAGCAGTGCGGCACTGGCTTCTACTTCGAATTTATTTTACATCCGGGTGAGTCATCTCAATTCTCTCTGAAAATCATGGGCAACTTCAAGGCGGCAAATTTGCCCTCTACATGAGAAATTACTTTTTAAATTTTTACGCAAAATTTAACAGCATTTGCTCATGCTTCATGAGGGCCGTTTAAATTTGTCATGGGATGAATTTGCCGCCGCAAAAGCTTTACTCTAACTACTCGACTAACTCTACTCGAAACTAGACTCTGTGTTACAACGCTCGCGCAGTAGATCCTGGAGTCTCCATGACTTTTCAGAGATCGCGATCGCTGCCAGACAGCGTCAGTGGTCCCTGGGCAGACAGCTTACTTAATCCCAGCTAACCTCAAGCGAAAGGGTAATTTCACGATAATAGGAATAGTCATGTCACCATGAATATAAACAACTTAGGGCAAAACGATTGAAAACCAAGGTGATAAAACAAAAGAAATGATGTCCCTGAACTTATCCATGCTAATAAATTTGATAGATTATGATTACATTTGATGATATGAAACTTTAAAGGTCGCAGAAGTCCGGTAGGTAACGAGTCGCCCACTCCGATTTAGAAGCAAAAGAGCAATTTGCAGCGATAAATCAGTGCTGATCATGGATTCATTGGCAATATTTGTCGAAAGGAAACCCTGATGTTAAAGAAAATTGCCATTTTGGACTGAAATGTTTATTTATAAGGGAGAAAAGTCATTAGAAAGAAGTGCTGCCACACTTGGCAACATATTTTAGCAGTAGTAGTAAGTGCAATGTTTACTTCGCCAGATGGAGCCAGGAGTTTCAAAACTGTCATCAAATTGTTTGCTGAAGTTTTCTCGACCAGACCAATACTGATAAGTCGGCTTGGGCCACTATATAAACTATAATTTTGATGAAAACCAGTGATTTTTAGGTGTGTAGCACTAATTTCTCACTACATAAAATCCTCAATTTAACATCATTAGACAAAAAGTAAGTCCCCAATGTTTAGAAAACTTATGAGGTAGCATTAATTCCACCTCATATCTCAAGAATTGCCAAGTGTCATCCTTTTAATCGTCTTTTATTTCACATTTTTAAATGTTGGTTACACTGTATCCGTTATGTAACCGACTCGATTTGGCAGTGCTGCTTTTTTGCAAGGACCTCCAGTATTCCTACAGGAGGAGCTTCTGATACTTACCTGATTCAATGGCTTGTTCGTCAATCACAATAACTTAGTACAGAATCAAAATTGTTCGTGCCAAAGCTGAAAAAAGGACGTTTAATGCCTTTCAAATGAAGAAGAATGGTTAAGATTGGTGCACTTTTATTTTTAGGGTGCTGCACATTTTAGCTATTCCTGTTATCGTGAAATCGCCCTGTAAAGTTGGCTTGTTTCTCCTTGAAAAATAAAATAGACGCGGCAATTCTGAGGCACCGCAACGTAGAAACGTCATTTCTTACTTCAACATCGACACATCATTTGATTTTTGACCATTTTTAGTTAGAGTTTCTCTTTTCACGTTTCATTTCTGCCTTTTTTGCGTCACGAACCCTCCAACCTTGAAGAATCGTTTCCCCCTCCTAAGATATTTTTTTACAACACTTCACTGCACAAATGTGCATCCTTCAAACTGTGGCAGGATCAGATTACACTTTAGTCGCGTTTCCGAAACTTACACTTCGTGTATTACGTGTTTCTAAATGATATTGCACCGTATACCTAAGAGGGGTAGGAGGCGGCAAAAACCTAAATCTGGCTCTAAGTGAAACCAAATGAATTTGGGGAAAGGCTTTGAACCTTCCTGCATACCTCGAGTCATGGGTTGTAGATCAAACTTTTCTTCTCTTGCTTTTACCAAAAATAATGGATTAATGATATATCAGCGGTGAAAGCCAACCTTGTATCTCGTATGATGCACATTTCCTATCATACTCAATTTTTGAAATTAAAAACTACTCATCAGCAATTCTTCAAAACTGCTGTCATTTTGGTCATTAAAGCCATGAAATGGACACAAATCCTTCGCACCTTAAAGAAATTAATAAAAAAAAACAAGATCTAGCATCATGGGAAAATATCTTCATCTTCAAACACCCCAACAACTTCAACCAGGATTTGAGCGATATCAACAACCCTCTGTTCAGGACTCTTAGTGAGCGAGGTGAGAAAGAGAGGTACAGCGACCACTGGGGGCCAGAGAATCAGTCGTGCTGAGGATGCTGGAGAAATCCAGCTATACGCGTACGCTAGTAAAAATTTTAGGTGCAACTGAGTTTTAAGTATTTCTTAATGTACTGTAATTTTACTTCTCTATGCAATAACATTACACAAAAGCTTTGCAAAAGTATGTTGATATGTTATGCTGTAAAAAAATATAACAGGAGTGGAGATTTTCAAACACCGCAAAAGAGATACAAGATTGAGGACATTCACCATCGATATTCAACAAGCACAACAAATTGATTACAAAAAAAGTAGGAATAAGTAAGTGGAGAAACCTCCAGAAATATGGACCGCGTGAAACAGAAAGGAACCAAGCCACATCAGCTATTGCCAAATTTAATCGGGCAATTTAATTTTTTACATAAAAACAGTTGTGCGGATATTGGTGCAAATTTCTATGAATTTTCTCCATACTAAAAAGCAAATTTCTTAAAATTTTCAAAGGAATCCGCCGAAACATTCTCTCTTAAAAAATTAAAAGTCCCCTGATAAATTTGGCATTAGCTGATGTGGCTTGGTTCCTTTCTGTTTAACGCGGTCCATAAGAGGTACGTTGTCGAAGTAAACTTGTCCGATTCCATTTGGTTCTTCTGTTTGCAAACGCAACTCAATGGTCCCATCCACCTATGGAGGCCGTAGAGCATTTGGTAGAAACGTTCGGCTTTCACATGTAAATTCACAAGTCCTTGGGTAATTCTAATGAATTCCAACAATGCTGACCATTTGGAATGGGGTAATTTCATTTGCAAACAGTTAACTTCGACAGCGCAGCTACAGAAGGTCGCTCTCAGTAGCTACGTGCACCTCTTTCAACAATGCCGCTATCTTGAACACATTCATGGTCCTGTGTTCTGTTGATAAGCCTAGGTTCTGATCAATTCATAGCCTATGCAGCTCCTGAAGCTCCTTCATGAGTTCATGCATTCTGAAGATTAAGGATATGCTTTAACAATGTGAGGCTCTGATTTGCTAATATATGTCATGATTTTGAAATGATCGGTGGAGTGGGTATCTGAAGGAGTTTAATTCAGCAGTACTAAGTGGTGGATTTAGTCAGAACAACTGCTAAAAATTCACCTTGACATCCGCTTTGGCAAAAGGAAGCTGTGAGTAGAATATGAAAGCCTACAATTCATCAACTCTCACACACAGTAAGAATAGATAAATTCAACAGTTGCATGTCTTGGCTAAATGCATGTACAGCAGTATGAAAAATGCAGTAAGAAGAAATTAAACCAGATTCAGATGCCTTTGGTTCTACCGAAACTGAGATGGGGCCACAATTCAATTGACTTGAGCCACCAAGAGAAGTTGATACCCTTCCATGTAAACAATACAAGCAGTATAAAATCTGCCCTGAATTGATGAATAATAAAAAATAAAGGAAAACAAAAGATGACTCAAAGATCAAGAGGACCTACAGCAATTGAAACGGTATCTATACCAGAGAATAAGCTGAAGAAGCAATGCCATGTTACTGAAGCAATTATTGGCCTCATCATGGTAATAATCAATACTAACAATAATCAAACTTGGACAGTACTGAAAACAACTCGAATAAGATGATAAGGGTGAAAATATTCATCAAAACCTCTAGGAATAGAGATAATAGTTTCAGGTTTCCATCGTCAGCGAAGGGACGCTAAATTTGAGTTCATTTTCAGGGCAAGCTGCACAAGCGTGAGGCCTTAAACAGGGAAGGCTGAGGTAGGACAAGGCCTCCAGAATTCAATTGTTGGATTCCGAAATATTTCTAGCATTATTGATTTTTGGACAAATTTGACGATTCTATGCAAGCGGACATGAGTGCTCGATGATTCTGTGATGGAAGAGTTGTAAAATAGCTGCGAAATTTAAGAATGGGAATGTTTGGCTTCAAGGTTGTCACGAGTAGGTTGAGAGCCTACGCGAAAATATTCGCATGCAACCATTTTGTCACGATTCATGCAACATAGACCTGACAATGGATTTTTGCAACGCAGGATAATTAAACACAAATTGCACGAGACAGAACTGATCACATCACATTCACAAGATTACCGAAAGACAGTTAAATAAAGAGGCGCTCTAAATTACCTAAAGAGGAGTCCCTCTTAGAAATACGAAATATTTAAGATCTCTGAGCCAATGCATAAAAGAAATGTGTTGAACTTAACTTACTACCACCGGAAACAAAGAAAAATATGCACTCTTACCTATGGTGGAAGTCAAAAGTTATACGCACAATTTTTTTTGCACCAATTCATAGACTTTTATGACCAATAATGATCATTTATCCACAGCTTTCAAAAATGTGACCTTTGACAAAAATTATAATTGATTGTTTAACTTGTAATAAATTTTAAAGATAAATTTAAGAAATTGTTGCTGTAGATACTAGCTTGAAATATTGCGATACCCAAGCGGCCTAGCGGTAGAATATTGCACTACACAGGATGCGTTGCCCCTCCACTTTTCCGAGTTAAGTTACTCTACCGTCGTCCGTCAGCGACCACTCGAATCACAGCCCGGGGGCTGGTGTTATCAATTTGTGAATTAGTGATCCCTTTAGAAATGATTAAGGCCATTTCAAGAGGTGGCCAATTTGGTGCTTTTTCCAAAGCCACCGCTCAAGCTATTCCTCCTCCTTCAGCATCCGTGCTTGTACCTGCTACTTTACCTCCTTCATCCAAACCCCTTGTGGAAATTGATCGTTCTTTGCTCACATCTGACTCATTGGGCAAAGCTGTATCTTCAATCAACAACTTCGGAGTTATCTCCGGTCCTGGAGGTAATGCTCATGATTCCTATTTTCTCTTTACCAAGTCCGTAAATTTATATACTTTATTGTCACTTGGGAATAATTCTTTCGACCATCTGCCATTGGTGCATCAAAGGTCAGATTGTAGGTTAAATTATTTTGACAACATATTATTTTCTTATCATTACTCAGGTGTTAGTATTATCATTGGCAACATTAAATTTGCAAGTTATTCCAACCGGTTACTCCCTGGATGATTGTAGTCTTAACTGTGACCAGTCGTTTAGCCCTCTTCCTTCCCAATTGGGTCTAGCGACCACAGACCTCTATGGCTCCCATCGGTGTAAGCGAGAGTTGGTTCCATAGCAGTTCCATCGCCAGAATTTTTGCGACCATTTTCGATGGAACAGGGATGGAAAGGCGTGCGATGTTAAATATTAACTGATAAAAAGGAAATTGTTTTCAAGCAGTCACTGTCTGTGATGCATTTATCGAAGAAAACTAAGTGGTTTGGAAAACACTGATGGCGGGAGATACGCTAACCTCAAAATTTCGGTTTGAACCAACAACTTGAACCAAATCAACTTCGACGACCAACAAGTGAGAAGCACGTAAACATAATAAGAACCCTAACCTCAATTTTGATGGAATCAAGCAGTGCCATCGGCCCATTAGCGACGGAACAGCTTTCCAAAGGCCGTTTTCAGAGATCGAGGTAGGCCACCCTCGCTGGATACTCCATTGAAAAGGAGCCTAGTTTGATCTATATCAATGGAAGTGAGAAGTCTGCGGTTGGGCTGCTGGAGCCTCCTGTGATCTTTGGTCTCTCGTATTTTTTACACCATTTACAGTTGGTCAAATCCTCTTTCTTTTATCAGCTCCAGCCCACCTACAAACTAGAGGCTTCAAAGAGGTTCATCGATGCCTTTCCTGGCCCTCTCATTGGCCAGTGGTCTAAGTCGGGGCAATCAATGAGTCTCTTTGAAGCCTCTAGTTTGTATGTGGGCTGAACGCTTAGGGCCCACTCTGCACAGAAGAATGAGCAATTAGTCACCTATGAATCTCTAGTATCCAATAGATCTCTTTATTGGACGTAGCTCAGTGCCATGAGAGCCTTCACTTGGGATGTTTTAACCATAGAGTACATAGAGTTATCATGCAAATGGTAGAGCTAGCGCCATGTTCTGGTCGACGAGTTCCGAGTCCGGTGTGTGTCGTGCTTGTGCTTCAGTCACTTTTTTTATACATTTTCGATCCAAAATAGCGGCAAGGAATATGTAGTATTTCCTATATTCTTTGTTTACATTGGATGGCCGCATCCCCATGTATCGAAAGCACTCAATTATGTAAAAAAAAGTGGCCCAACGTCACACAGGTGTCTCAGAATTCAGAACCTGGTAAATGTTCAAAAGTGGTGCCAGCTCTCCCACTTACATTACGACTCTATGTTCTCTTTGAATTTAACCCAACGCTTTGTCTCCACGGGACGTCTCAAAGGATTTTTCCTAAGTTCGAATCACAGGAATGAAACTTCTGGCCTTTTTTCACGTTAAACAACACAACAAAATTTCTTCCTCTTTTCAAGTCGTTCTTGGGACTTCACAAGGACTCTTAGTTGCTACTGTAATTAGTACTGACTAACTCAATATTTTCCCTAACTTCGCAAGTGAGATTGTTCTCTGGGACAAGTTCCATGAAACGTCCTGTGGAGACAAGGCCTAAGTTAGCCTCATTTAGGAAAATGATCTTTCTAGTGATCTTAAACTTATAAAGTGGCTGTTTGTCTGAAACACAGGACCCCTGAGGCTGAAAATAACTAAACAGGAATAATAGCAGGAATGAGTTCTGACGTATACATCATTTGACTTTAGTCTCAACATCAATAAGGGAGCTTAATTATGCAGCAACAAGAAAGAAAGCAATACTTGACTCCGATAATAAATTGTGAGGAATTGGATCTAAATACAAGGCTTGCCCATTGTATGTTGAGACCCTGGAGTGCAAGTCTGAATGTATCAGCGTGGGATCATCCCGTAAATGGTAGCTACCCAGCCCCGTGTAAGATCAGCTAAAGAAAGGAACATTCATGAGGACTTACAGCAGTAGGTCTGGGCTGTGCATTTTTCGAGTTGAACCATCAATATTTATCATCATCCACCCTGTTGCCTAGAGTTTTTAGATTTCTGTTTGAATTCATGTAACGTTTTAAAATTGTATTACAATAGAACAAGCTGCAAGCCGATAATTTTACTTAATGGGGCAGTGGCAGGGAACATCACAGGGTTAGTGCAATCTTTCCTATATTCAAGAGCCTGATGCAAAAACGATGTTTTTCGCCCCCCCCCCTCCCCCTCTGGAATGTTTTCAAACTTCGTCTAACAACTACTCATACAAGATCGCTTCTTTTCCCAAATTTTCAGATCCCTAAANGGGGGGGGGGGGGGGGGGATTCCAAACCTGTGAGTATCGATACCTATCTTTTGAATGAGAAAAGATATTGAGGTCCGGTTTGGACGAAAAATCGTTTAAAATTGCATACTGTTGTAAGATTCGATAGGTCCAAATCCCAAAATCACATTTTCAAGTTAACTCATGTGCTTTTTTTCAGTTTTTGAGTCAAAAAATTTTCTTCCAAATATGAAATACACTAAGATCTCAAGTTTTCATTTAAACCAAAACCAGTCTTTTAAATTGTTAGTCTTTTTTTGCATCCAACGAGTGGTCCATGGTGGTGGTGGGGAGAACCAAACGGTTCGAGAGTTATGAACGATTGCAATTTCCGCTCTACTCGCGCCGACCGATTTATTTTTAATATTGATTAATATTGATAGATTACGGGAGTAGAACACGGTGAAATATTTCGGAGACAATGGACCACTAGACAAGGTACGAATTTAAGCAATCTGATGCATATTTCTTAACCAGAATTTCACGTAGAACACGATTCACACTACGAAAATTACCCAAATCAACTTCTAACGAAGATATTAACGTTTTTATTTCGCACTGATTACGAGGAATTTGAACTGCCCGCTCCCAAGAAACTCAAAGCTCTACGTGAGTCAAATCGCGCACTACAACGGTTTCAGCAAGCTTCTCAATCGAGCAATGTTCATTTTCCACCATGTGTTGTTCAAACTATTGGTAATTTGCTATAGCTGAGCCAAAGTGTCAAGATTTTTACATCGCAGAGACTGTCATGATAAACATTTAGCGCGCGATGTGAATCACGTAGAGCTTTGAGTTTTCATGAGCGGGTGGTTTGAATTCACGCATCAAGAATCATTAAATATCTTCGTCAGGAGTTGATTTTGGTAATTTTCGTTGTGCGTATAGTGTTCTACGTGAAATTTTGATCGAGAAACATGTATCAGAATGCTGAAATTCGTACCTTGTCTAGTGGTCCATTATTACGGCTAATCGGTGGGACTCGTATGTAGCGCTGCACAGCAGTAAAATATTGAATAACAGTCCTGGGAGGGCACATTGAAGCCCTGTAAAATTCTATTCTTAAAATTTCAGTATTGACACATTTGAGCTCAGGTTTAGCTTGGCAGACGGATACACCCTTCTGCGGACGATCAGAAGAACTGGAATGTAGCGTTTCCGAGCTAATTATTTGTTCTGGGTGGCCACATTGAAGCCACATTATATTTGTTTTTCAGTGTGCCACCGTGTTTTACTCCCAAAATCCATTGATGAAGATACATTTGAGCTTAAATTAAGCCTGGCAGATGAACACAAATTCATACGGCCGATCGGTGGGCCTGTAAAAAAGTTTTCCGGAGCTGTTGTGCCATAAGAAATAATGCAACTGGCTTACAGAAACATGTGTAGTTTAATGATAGAAACTGAAATGACGAATACCAAACATAACAGACCAGAGATATCTTGACTCAAAAGGGATGACAAGGTAGAAAATTTACGCATGATCCCTATGTCACTTAAGCCTTCACTTGGTGCATACTGGAGAAATGCTCAGAAACTGCATTTTGATGGTAACGATGACGCAACAGCGCGCGTAGAGCGGAAACTTCAATTGTCCATAACTCGAACCGTTTGGTTCCCCAGCTTAATGGACCACTCCTTGGATGCATATAAAGACTAACAATTTAAAAAAACTGGTTTTGGTTTAAATAAAAAAATGAGATCTTCGTGTATTCCATGTTTAGAAGAAATTTTTTTGACTCAAAAACTGAAAATAAGCACAGAAGTTAACTTGAAAATGTGATTTTGGGATTTGGATCTTTCGAATACGACAGTATGCAATTTTAGACGATTTTTCGTCCAAACCGGACCTCGGTATCTTTCCTCGTTTGAGAGAATTGAGGTTTACAGGTTTTGACTTCCTCACCCCCTCCCCCCCTAGCGCCTCTCCAAAAGTTTTTGGGGGTCAAAGAAGCGCTCAAATACGAGTAATTGATAGACCAAGTCTGATCCAATTTCCGAGGGGGGTGGGCGAAAAACGTTGTTTTTGCAACAAGCTCTATCGTGAAAATACTGAAAAATTCATAAAAGTATTTCTTAGAGATTAAGAAGCTAATCAAAATCCGACCAATCAAAAGCCGAAAGTGAAGTTGATGTAGCTAGGCGAAGCCTGGGGCTGCATTCAGCCAATCAGTAAATGCAGTTTCTTCTGCCTGGCTACATCATCAGAGTCCGCCAAAAATATTGTTTCAAACTCGTCTCATTTTTAGCATTTTCGAACGGGGTCTCTTCGCCATTTAGAAATGAGAAAAGTCGTAAAAAATTACCAGAAGTTCAGCCCACTGCATACTTACAAAAAATCAATTAAAGAAAATAGGTGCCACTGACCCATGCGAATTAAATCTATGTTTGGAACACTTCAAAAACCGTTCAGAATTAATCGTTCTTTCGGATATCAACACTCTTCAAACTAACATAAGTAGAACATCGCAGAGGTGCAAAACTTCTGTGACCAAACAGCGGATTCGGTAGCGCCAATAATTTGAAGGCAGCCGAAGAAGGGTTTTCGAGATGAGAAGGCACCTGAAAAGTGGGAAAAATAAGAAGGCAGCACTTATTTTTGTAACTGAAACATCAAATATGTATGTTATTCTTTCAAAAGGAAACTGCTAAGTGCGTTACTTTCAGCGAAGCAAACTTCGAACCGTGTCCCTTATACAAAAAAAATAGTGAAGCCTAAAAATATCTGCCGCGATAGCCGAGAGAGCCATAAGTGCAAAATTTTCAAAATCGAGTTTTCTTCAAAATTCGTCTAAACTCTTTTAGATGAAATTACTGAGACTGCTAACTCAGCAAAATTCATCTTAATTTAATGAAAACGAAATATATGAAAAAGCTGTAAGTGCACAAAAAATTATATAGTTTTTTTCAAGACAGCCGTAGGTGTATGAGAGCCAATGAAAAGAGTGCTTTCAAGAGGAATGCCGCCCTCATCTGCCGATTTCTAACCTGAAAATGTGTTTGTTGTGTGTTCAACACGCTACCACAAAAGCACGCAGAAGATAGCCCTTACCAAACACTAACCTAACATGAAACTGAATTTTACCTTTTTCATGTACTTAAAAATAAAATCGGTAGAGTTTTAATCCCCCAAATGATTTTTAAGAGTCTATCGAATGATGGGTTGCGATTTGACTAAGAACGGAGGCTTCTTTCAATAAAATATTCCACTCAGAAGCTTCTAGGCCCATTTTCTCAAAACTTCATTTTTGCACTTACGGTTCTCTCCGCTATCACGGCAAATATGTGAAGGCAGTAAACTTTCCGCATCCCTGGGACACAGAATGTCTCAACTTGAGTAATTCTCTGAAGCCAAATAAAACATTCTTGTTCATATTAGCTTCAGCAAAGAATAGTAACTAGAAAACCGGATTACCAGGCAAGGTATTCATTAGATGCACTTTGTTGCCCAAAATTGAGCACTTGAGTACAGTTTTTGAAAAAATTGAGGCACCCTATTAATAGTTTCAATTAAAACTAGCCTAAAAATGTATTCGGTAAACGATTCACCACACAAATCCCACTAAATGCATCCAAAAATGAGTATGAACTCTCTCTCAGCCATAAGGCTCAGAGTAATTTTGAAACTTTAAACATGTAAGTATGTCTTGAAATAGCAAAATCTGTACCTATGGGCCTTGTCAGCTTAGCCCCTGAAGTAGATAATTTTACTTTTTTTTATTCTGTTTCTAAATCTTGAATTTATGTTTTAAGTTGAATTGTAACAGCTCAAGCTGTCGGCATCAATTTATATTTGTATCAAGCATTCGGAAATCACTGTCGTCCATTCTTCCTGTCTTGAGTTTTTTGGATTGATTACTTTGCCGAGTTGGATGCAACTATGAAAGTGGTGATAATATTCGTTTTAAGGTTGTTTTAATCCTAAAGCGAGATCTTGCATCACTGTCATGATTGTATCGACTCTTGAAAAGTATTATTAGCACGGAAAAACCTCAATCTGGAAAAATGGACGTCAGCGGTTTTTGCACGACTCAATCCAACTGTTAGCTACTCATTTTTCAGCACTGAAAATTCGCATAAAAAGTATATGTATCGAAAAGAAAAAGTTTCATATCCTCTTCATTCAGCACAACTTCAATCTACTGAGCAAATCTTTTTTTTTGGGGGGGGGGGGGGAGTGTGGGAAGTGGTATCAGAATGAGCTGGCTCCAACAGTATCTCTTCCAATCCCGAATCCCGATAACCCAGAGGATGTGAGGGAGTATCAATACTAATGAAAAATAATAAATAAAGAAGGCAAACTACTTTACTAGACACCTCTCTCACGAACTTTGAGAAGCCTAGCAGGATCCTCTGATTTAGAGTTGTCTGGACTGGTTCTAAATGTAGACTAGGGGTTCGCTATTAACCGACTGGCTAGCACTAAACTGAACAAATCTGGATTCTCTTAGAAGATCATTTACGAACTCTTTACAGGAACCATAACAATGAGCAAGAGAGGTTTTGATACAAATATACCAAGTTGAAATTTTCCATTGGTCAGTGTGCTGATCCAGATTTATGTACTCAGATATCATTCATTAACTGATGGAGGTCCAAAAGTAATTTATTTACATTTTCTGCACGCCACACCTCCAGCATCACTGAATGTCGTCACTTTTGAATCTCTTCTTTTCAGTGACTACTCAAGTGAGATTTGCTCACACAGATGTCAAAGTTCCAGACTTTACAGCTTATAGGCGAGACTCCACCAAGAGCCCGACCTCTGACAATGACAAGTCTCTTGGTTCCCGAGCTGCATTCTCTTATCTTTTCACTGCAGGTAAAGCAATGTTAAGTTCAAACAATCATCCGAGAAGTTTCATTTATAGCTTTTCATCTGTGCCTAAGACTTTATCACTGAAAATAGTTATGTCCAAAGTATTTGTAAATTATTCTCTTATCATTTCATGGTATATATTTTTATAATTTCTTGTATTTATTTTATATAATATTGTGAATTCCCCGTGTTTGCAAAGGAGGAGGCTCCTATCCGAAGTCTTAGGAAAATTTAGTCCTTAGGGAACTAAAACTTGCAGTGTAACCTCTCCTATTCTGGGCACTAGTAAAACCACTTGACCTTGTGAAATTTGTGAATTTTGAGCAATTGAATCGCTCACACTTGAAGAGGTTATACCTCCCAAGAACTGAAAACCTAAGCTATATGTGATGTGGTAGCATATTAACAGACAACTTGAATATCATATACAGGGTGGGCCAGAAGTTCCAGGACGGTCGGCTAACTTTTGAACGGTTCGAGATAGAAAAATGAAACTTTGGGAATTTTCCTATCTCAAAGGGGACCATCTTATGGGGGAGTCAAAATTTTGGTCCCCCCTAAGGGAGGGGGCGGGGGGCCCCCAACTTTTTTTTTCAAATGGCAACCCCTAGCTTGTGATACCTCATTCGAAAGACCATAAAAAACTAAGAATTTTGGCGTAAACCGCAGATCAATATCTTAATTTTTGACCGAGTTATGATAGGATCAAAGGTCAAATTTGACCTATTTTCAAAAAATCACAACTCCGGTTCAAATTATCGTAAAGAAAAAAATAAAACGGGAAAATTTACTAATTGTGTTCGCTTTTTTTTAAAAAATTGCAGAAATCACTTCGAACTAATTTTAAGGGGGATTCGGACCCCCAACTACGTCAATTCAAAGGTCATTCAATTTTCCCGTGAAATAAGCCAATTTCCCCTAGATTTGCCTCCACATTATCTCAATAAGGTCAAAATCAGTTCAACATTACGTTGGGCAAGTCCCCAAATTTCAGGAAAAGTTAAAAAAACGCAATTTAAGGTAATTAAATTTGACCGTTTAAATTGGTTTTTTTTTTAACTTTTCCTGAAATTTGGGGACTTGCCCAACGTAATGTTGAACTGATTTTGACCTTACTGAGATAATGTGGAGGCAAATCTAGGGGAAATTGGCTTATTTCACGGGAAAATTGAATGACCTTTGAATTGACGTAGTTGGGGGTCCGAATCCCCCCTTAAAATTAGTTCGAAGTGATTTCTGCAATTTTTAAAAAAAAGCGAACACAATTGGTAAATTTTCCCGTTTTATATTTTTCTTTACGATAATTTGAACCGGAGTTGTGATTTTTTGAAAATAGGTCAAATTTGACCTTTGATCCTATCATAACTTGGTCAAAAATTAAGATATTGATCTGCGGTTTGCGCCAAAATTCTTAGTTTTTTATGGTCTTTCGAATGAGGTATCACAAGATAGGGGTTGCCATTTGAAAAAAAAAGTTGGGGGCCCCCCGCCCCCTCCCTTAGGGGGGACCAAAATTTTGACTCCCCCATAAGATGGTCCCCTTTGAGATAGGAAAATTCCCAAAGTTTCATTTTTCTATCTCGAACCGTTCAAAAGTTAGCCGACCGTCCTGGAACTTCTGGCCCACCCTGTATATAAACTCCAAGACCTCCTAATTTTGCGTAACTGGTGACGCTTAGTTCCAGCGTTCTACCGGGCCGATTTTAATGATTTTTGCGGCTATCGACGGGCAATTGTCCCTAGATAAGCCAACTCTTTTCAGATTTTCAAAATATGGCCCAGGTTTTGTTATATTACATGGTAAAGTTGCGAATTCTCCAATTTAAACAATGTAAATTTATACTTTTTGTCATAGTTCGTTTGAGCGTTCTACCGGGCCGATTTCTATGATTTTTGCGTAAATCGACAGGTAATAGGCCCTAGATGAGCCCGCTCTAATCAGATTTTGGAAATAGGACCCAGGTTTCTTTAAAATCACGGTATAAAATTGAGTGAATTTACGGAATGCTCCGGGACTGCTACCGCTGTGCGCGGGAGGATGCGCAGTGGTCGAGAAGGTTGCGCAGTAGCTGGGTAGCCTGCGCATCAGCTCTATACTTATCTACGCAAGATTCACACCCAATATCTCCATAAGAGCGGTGGCCGAGTCGTCTAAGACGTTGGATGCGTCCGCTTGAATCACGGTGTGGGTTCGATCCCTATCTCCTGACTATTTTAAGTATTACCTGATCATCATCATTCGTTGTTTTACTGCAATATTTCATCAAGCAGTCATTTCAAAACGCGTCCTTTTGACTTCAAAAAAAAAAAAAAAAAATTCTTCATTCATCATAACCAAATATTATTTCATTCTGAAAGTAAAGTATACCTCATATCGTAATTTTTTAGGGGAAAAATAAAATCAACATTGATAAGGGGTAAAAGGGTAAAAATAGGGCCGCGTTGCGGTCAGGGGGCGTAGCCCTCTAGTATAACAATACTAGCCGTGATTAGCTGGCTTTGCGAGCTGACACGTCTAGCTGGGGAGTGCCCCTGAACCCAGTCCTCCTCTTCGCGATGAACCTGCGACTCGCTGCGCGAGCTGCCACCGCCCTGCATAGTTTTTAACATTGATGAGAAGACAACATCTATGTCTTAATCTTCTTTTTCACCAAGTTTTACAGAAATTGATGTTCTAGGAGTCGAGACCGCATTTTTGTGCGGGCCGCCATCTTGGATTTTGAAATGTTGAAAATCTGACTAAAAATTCGAGTTTCCCGTCAAAAATACTCCCTCTACTTCCGAATTTCACGAAAATTGATCGAACAGGAGCAGACTTACAATTAGCATTTGAAGCCACGGCCGCCATCTTGGATTTTGAAATGTTGTAAATCTGACCAAAAATGCGAGTTTCCTGTCACAAAGTACCCCTGCATACGGAGTTTCACGAAAATCGATCGAACAGAAGCCGACTTAACATTTTAGGCAAAGGCCGCCCTCTTGGATTTTGAAATGTTGAAAACCTGACCAATAATTCGAGTTTCCCGTCGAAAAATACCGTAGGATACCGAGTTTCACAAAAATCGAGGAAACAGGAGGCGACTCAGCATTTTAGGCCACGGCCGCCATCTTGGATTTTGAAATTTGGAAAATCTTACCAAAAATTCGAATTTCCCGTCGAAATGTCCCCCGAACACCGAGTTTTACTGAAATCGATGGATCAGGAGCCGAGAAAGCATTTTAGGCCACGGCCGCCATCTTGGATTTTGAAATGTTTAAAATCTGACCATAAATTAGAGTTTCTCGTCAAAAATACACTTCCTCATACCGAATTGCACGAAAATCGATCGAACAGGAGCAGACTTAGAATTTTAAGCCACGGCCGCCATCTTGAATTTGAAATGTTTAAAATCTGACCAAAAATTCGAGTTTCCCGTCAAAAAGTACGCCCTGTCACCAATTTTCACTAAAATCCGTCGAAAAATTCCTCCTAAAACCTGCAATTTCGTCTATAAGGCTGTGACGTCACGTGACAGGATTGAACCTGTTCGGCGCGGTGCGCGTAAACAACCGCGTATCTCCAATGCAATACTATAGGGAGAAACAACTTTTCCATGTTGCGGGCGTCCTAGGCAGCGGATTGGAATCGGAATAATTTTGATCAACTCCTCACGACAATAGCTAAGCGTGTACCAAGTTTCAAGGAAGTCGCTGCGGCCAATTTTTCTCTAGGGGGGGCAGAGTAAGTGGGAACAGCAGCTTTACAAAGAGTAATAAGAATCTATTCCTGAAATGTAAAAAGGTGATGAACAGAGCACAGGTGAGCAACCGGCATGGCATGGCGCAGGCCCAGACGGACAATACTCAGCTGTGCTGACAACCAATCAGAGAGGAAGGTGGCTGGCGCAATGATAGGTGGCAAGTGCTGCTAACCACACACCTTCTCCCTTTAAATAAAAAAGAATCGCCCTGTTAAAGATACTAAGTTGGCGTCAATGGCTTCCACAAACAATCATATGGCGTTAATCTCCTTTGTAAAAATGTTTCTTCGGCGTTACTCGCCTTCGTAAAAATATCCGTAGACGTTAGTTGCCTTAATACAAATAATCCTTTGCCATTAGTCGCCTTTGTAAAAATAATCATTTGGCGTTAGTCGCCCCTCGATACTGTAAGCCCCGAGACCTCCTAATTTTGGATAACTGGTAACGCTTAGTTCCAGCGTTCCATCGGGCCGATTTTCATGATTTTTGCGGCGATCGACGGGCGTTTGTCTCTAGATGAGCTCGCTCTATTCAAATTTTCAAAATATGACCCAGGTTTTTTTATATTGCGTGGTAAAGTTGCGAATCCTCCCATTTAAACAATGTAAATTTATATTTTTTTGTCATAGTTCGCTTGAGCGTTCTACTTGGCCGATTTCCATGATTTTAGCGGGTATTGACAGAAGATAGGTCCTAGATGAGCCCGCTCTAATCAGATTTTGGAAATAGGACTCAGGTTTTTTTATAATCACTTTATAAAAGTGAGCGAATTTTCAGAATGTCCTCACGTGCTGCCGCTATGCGCAGAAGGTTGCGCAGCGGCCGAGGAGGTTGCACAGTGGCTGACCAGCCTGCACATTCCCTCTACTGTATGATCGCAAGATTCACCCGATACAGTTCAAGCAGGTCAGTGGTTGAGTCGTCTAAGGCATTACGTGCACACCTGTGCCGATCTGCGATGTAGATTCGAATTCCGACATTAAATTTCTTATTACGACCTGTAAATCATCTTACTTTGTTTTACTGCAATGATTCATCAATCAATCATTGCGAAACGCATCCTGTTGACTTCAAATTTTTTCTTCTTTTATCAAAAACAAAAATAATTTTGTTTTTAAAAGGAAAATATATTTCATATCTTACTTTCTTAGGGGAAAAATGAAACCAACATTGATAAGAAGCTACAGGAGAAAGACGCGAAGATAAAAATCGGAAACTAAAGGAAATTTTAAAAAAAATATAAACGGATAAATAAATAAAATG